CCCCGAAGGCAGCTGGGCAGCAGGAGCTCAGGCTGCTCCCAGAGCGTGCAGCAGCCACAGCCCCTGGGCACGAGGTTCTTTTTAATCTCATTCTTAACTGCACCTGAAGCTGGCGATTAAATAAAGCTGGGAGCTGCGGGCAGGGTGTGCGGGGCCAGTTGAGCTGCCCAGTTGCCAGCGGTGCCTGTCCCAGTGCCATCTGCTGGTCACTGCCTGGCTGGGCTGGGCTGGCCGTGACCTCAGAGCACCCCAGCACAGCGGGGTCCCTGCAGGACAGCTGCTGCTGCCGGGCTCCTGCAGCTCTGGGAGAAGGGAAATGTGGAGCTGCAGGAAAGCTTTGCTGGGAAAAGCAGGGCCAGGAGGATGGGGAAAAGCAAAAGGAAAAGTCAGATACCAGCATCACTCCGGTGCTGATTCACAAACACAGAATTTGGGGACATACACTTCTATTTAACTTTTTTTCTGTGCTGCAAAGTTGAAATGGTGTGTGTTTACAGTGTGAGAGGCTTGTGTTGGGCTTCCTAAAACAGAGAACCAGAAGTGCTCCAGCCATAGTCTTTATTTCTTTTTTTTTGCTCTGAGTTTTTTTCTCTTGTTTCCCTTGCCCAAGAATTCTTGGTGGGGACACATTTTTACTTTACACTCAGTTCGATGCTCAAGAAAATTTCCCTACGTCATCCTCAATCCCCATGGCCTCCTGCTGCTTTTGCACAGGTTTTAAAACATTAAGTTACACCCTTAACATAAAGCAGCACTTGGATGCCTTTGGAAAGCCAAAAAACCCCTTCAGGACCCACTTTGTCTTTTAGCAATTCTATGCAAGCACATAATTAAGAGCATTTTACAGGTATAATAAGTGGCTCCCAGGTGTCTAGATGCTCCAGAGAGAGAGTGAACAGACTTTCACAACAGGATTTATTCAGTGCATGCTCTGGGGATGCTCAGGACAGAGCAGCAGTGGAGGATCTGAATAATGGCCTTCAGGTCATCCTCCACCTCATCTGTAAGAAATGAAAGGTTGCAATGACCAGAGAAGGGGCTGTATCTCCCCGTTATCTTCTTTCCACCTGTCTGCAAAGCTTGTCACATATTTAACACACCTGACTGGGAATCCTCAGGTGAAGGAAGGAGAGATGTGGGGTAACAAAACACAGTGGCCCAGACAATGCCAGAGGTCCTGCAACAGGACAGCAGAGCCACCAATAACCTCTAACAATGTCACTTGTACCCCTGGAGCTCAGATTGTACCAACACACCTGGGGACTCGTTCTCCTTGACCACACACACACAAGTTACGCATCAAGAGGAATCTGTATCTGAATTAAAATACACAGAAATGATGCAAAGAATGAAGCCATGCAGGGAAAAGCTACATGAAGGAGCTGATGGCCTCTCTCAGCTCTGAAGGTTTCTCTTCTGTGCGTGCTCTCAGGTGCAGGCACAGGCGTAAAATAAATCTGTGACACTGGAATAACTGAGGAATGGGACATGTGCCAGAGAGCAAGAGAGAGGGAGGAGGAGAGAGGGAGGAGGAGAGAGGGAGAAGGCAAGTGCTGCAGAGTGTGAGGAGGAGAGGGGGGAACAGCTGGCTAGTACTGGCCAGAGCTACACCAGAACCAGGAGGAAACAGAAATCCTCCAAACAGCCACTCTGTGTGGACAAGAAGGAAAAGAGGTAACACTTGTCCAGAATTGAAAGAAACACACTGGGAGGGAAAAGAGCATTTCTGCTGGAAATTCATCCTGACAAACACCAAAACCAAGCACCGTGCCTCATCCACAAACACCAAAGCCAAGCACCGTGTCTGACTGTGCCCAGGTCACCCTGCTGTCCCCAGGGTCACGCTGTGACAGGGCCTGCAGCCATAGGGGACTGTGGGTGCGTGGGAGAGCTCAGCACTTCCAGCCTGGAAATGGAACAGAAGCCAGGGAAAAGGAGAAGCGTCCAAGGTCACCAGCATGATGGCAAACACCCTCCTGCCCTCAGGTCTCCTCAGGAAGGGGACAAAGTTCCCCTGGCACTGCCGGCTGCCCTTGGCTCGCCACAGCTGCAGCAGAGAAGGCAGCGTAAGGAGGGAGCGTGGGAATTGTCCAAGGAGTGTCCTGAGCCTACCAGGGCTGTGGAACAACCAGTGCTGACAAAAGCCTTGGTGAGGGGTGCAGGGACAGCTGAGGAAGAGCCTTCAGAGCAGAAGGCCCACCAGGATGGCACTGGGGAGGAGGAAGAGTGAAAACCCCAAGCAGGTACTGGCAGCTCCATCTTTGGAAGGATCCACACTCGTCTGGTCCAAGTTTGTCTCCAGTTCTTCTGTGTCCAGGGCACCTGCTGGAAGAAGAGAGGAAAATGTGGAGTTAGAGAGAAGATGGGGAAGAAGAGAAACTCCCACTCATGCAGGTGTGCCATGACGTGTCCCGAGGCACCGTGAGGCAGCAGAGCTCTGATCCAGGGAAGCTGTGCGTTAGTGGGAGCAGGCTGGGAACAGGACCATGCTTCAGGAACATCCAACCAGCCCCTCAGGGTTAATGCAAAGAGTGAGGAAAAGGCTTGGTGCCACATACAAGAGGAGGATCCAAAGGACCAGTGTGACACTGCTCCTCCCAAGCCCTCTCCATGCTGCTTGGGGATCCCTGAGTGTCCGAGTGTCCATGCCAGGACAAACTCCACGGTTGCCTTACCTGAGAGGGAGCTCTGGAAATGGGGGCTCGGCCCTTTTTTGTCTTTGGAGGATGATGTTAAGCGCAAGAACGAGGGCTCTTCAGGGCTGAGGACCACTGACTTGGAGGGGGTTATGAGCTCAGCTCTATTGAAACCTAACTTCATCTCTGGAACAGCTTGGCTGGGGGATGGAGATGGACTGGAAAAGGCTGATTTCTCTTTCCCCTCCTCTTTGACACCTTTCTTTGTTTCTGGGACTGATCTGGGGCTGAAGGCTGAGCCCATGCTTTCTAATAAGGCTGGATCCTCTGTAGTGAAGGAGCTAAGAGGCTCTCCAGTGTCTGCCTCTGGAGATAATTTATCATCTGTGTCTAAGGTGGGCTCAAAGGAAAGAGTGATCCCAGTTGCCTCAGTTGGATCAGGTCTTTCTGGCTCTGGCTTTGTGGTTGTGGCAGTTTTCACCTGTGTCTTTGCTGTTGTGGCAGGTGCTAGTGTTGTAGCAGCAGGTCTTGGCTTGGCTGTAGTGGTGGTAGATGTTGGTGTGGTGGGTGTTGGTTTGGCTGTGGCTGTAGCAAGTTTTGTCTTAGCTACAGTTGGGGTGGGTTTTGCTGTGGTGGGTGTTGGCTTGGCCATAGTTGTGGTTGTTTTTGGTTTGGCTGTAGAGGTGGTTGTGGTGGGTGTTGGTTTAGTGGTTGTAGGTGTTGGTTTGGTGGTAGTGGTGGTAGTGGTGGTAGTGGTGGTTGTAGGTGTTGGTTTGGTGGTGGTAGTGGTGGTAGTGGTGGTAGTGGTGGTTGTAGGTGTTGGTTTGGTGGTGGTGGTGGTTGTGGTGGGTTTTAGGGGGGTGGGTGTCATCTTGGTGGCAGTGGTGGTTGTTGGCTTAGTGGCAGTGGTTGTTAGGGCAGGTTTTGGTGTGGTGGGTGTAGGCTTGGCCATAGTTGTGGTGGGCTTTGGCTTGGCTGCAGTGCTGGTGGCTGCTGGCATGGTGGGTTTTGGCTTGGCCATGGCTGTGGTGGCTGCTGGTGTTGTGGGTTTTGGCCTGGCTGGGGTTGTTGGGAGTGTGCTGGCAGGTTTTGGCTCGGCTGTGCTGAAGGCTGCCTGTGCTGGGACTTTGGGCTTGGCTGTGGTTGGGAGTGTGGCTGTGGGTGGTGGCTTGGCTGTGGTTGTGGTTGGAAATGTGGTTGTAGGTTTTGGCTTGGCTGTGGTAGACACTGCTTTTGTGGGTTCAGGTTTGGCTGTGGTGTGTGCTGATGTTGCAGGTCCTGGTTTGGCTGTGGTGGACACTGGTGTGGTTTCTGGTTCAGCTGTGGTGTGGACTGGTGCTGTGTGTTCTGGTTTGGCTGTGGGCTCTGGTTTGGCTGTGGTTGTGGGTTCTGGTTTAGCTGTGGGTTCTGGTTTGGCTGTGGGCTCTGGTTTGGCTGTGGTTGTAGGTTCTGGTTTAGCTGTGGGTTCTGGTTTGGCTGTGGGTTCTGGTTTGGCTGTGGTTGTGGGCTCTGGTTTGGCTGTGGGCTCTGGTTTAGCTGTGGGCTCTGGTTTGGCTGTGGGCTCTGGTTTAGCTGTGGGCTCTGGTTTAGCTGTGGGCTCTGGTTTGGCTGTGGTTGTGGGCTCTGGTTTGGCTGTGGTTGTGGGTTCTGGTTTGGCTGTGGTTGTGGGCTCTGGTTTGGCTGTGGGCTCTGGTTTAGCTGTGGGCTCTGGTTTGGCTGTGGCTGGGGTGGATGGCCTTGCCTTTGTTGTCACAGAGGCCGGAGTGGTCTCTTCTACAACGAGTTCTGGTGAGAGATGAAAAGTGCTGTGGGTTAGGGCTGGCTCAGCTGACCTCACTGGATCCCCTGCACTGAGCAGGACCAGCAGAAACCAGTGAGGGGCTGAAACAGCAGCTGACCCCTCTCAGGTCACTCTGGGCCATCCCCCACTCTGGGGTTCCCAGCCTGGACACATCTCATGCCCCTCACAACCTCCTGCCATGCAAGGGGCAAATAATGCTGCCTAACAGGGTACAAGCCCCTCCTTATCTTAAGGCAGTTGTGCTGTC